TATTTTAGATTAATAATCTAGTTATTTTTATTGAAACATTAAACTTTAATAATTATATCAAATATTCGAGACATTTTACCAAAGAGATGTATTAAACATTATTTTATTATTATACCTATTCAAATAGTAATATTTACTCGATTTCAAATTATAAAACAGTCTATTATAATAAGTATTAACACCAAATTGATGGAACCAAAGAATTTGTATTAGCATTTTCTTTATTTTGAAAAATTTAATTGATATTATCTCCTTGAATGGCGTATCAACAAAATCGAATTCCCCAGTATTAAGGATGAAAGAATGTATAATTAAGTAAGGATGCCCATCCTCCCCCACAAGGTCGATGTCGCATGATCCTCTCCTTCCCAAAGATGCTCTCTCTCTGCTTCTTAAAAAACTTAGAAATAAATTTACTGTACTATAAATTTACTATGAGAAGGAGTTGATCGGGGAGTGCGGTCAAATAAATACTAAATTATAGAAATAGTATTATTTAATTCGACCCACTTTGCAGGTCTTCATCAGAACGTAGGATGTAGCACCCCCAATCAACTCCTCATATCATATCACGGTCAACCATCTCTACATCATTATAAATTTACTAATTAAATTTACTGTACAATTACACTTGCTGAGGTTTGTTTTATATATCTATTTCTGCCATAAATACTGTTACAAAAGTTGAACTTTGTTTTCATCCTTGGGTATTATTACAGTACAGAGATCCTATATGTATGTGCAGACATCGGCCGTCCCCACACTGTGGGGTGAGAGTAGTGGCTCCTCGAATCTGAATAAATTCCATTCGGAAAAAACAAATCATGTCTCGGGAAATGGGAATATCTGTCAGGTCAATGTCTCGCATAATAAAAAGTGACTTTAGGAGAGGTGCACTTCGAAGAATGACAGAACAAAGGCTAACCAATTCCCTAAAAATTAGAGTGGATAGATGCAAAGTGCTCCTTGGCCGTTACACCAATGGTCTTCCACGCTAGATTTTGTTACGATGAGAAAATTTTTACAATTGAAGAAAAATTTAATTGCCGAAATGATCGTGTGTACACACACAGCTCTAAAGAGGATCAGGAAATCATTAGAAGAGTGGAAAGAGGTCATCACCCTTCCTCAGAGATGGTTTTTTGGGGACTTTGATTTGATGGCACAAAAAAGCAATATTTTTGTGGAAAAGGAGTTAAAACAGCCGCTAAAAACTATCAGGACGATATTTTGGAACCTGTTGTCAAGTCTCTAAATGATACTCTGTTTACTGGAAGTCATTAGGTTTTCTAACAGGATTCCGCTCCAGCTCATAAGGCCAGGTCAACTCAGCAGTGGCTGCAAAGGAACATTCCAGAGTTCATCTCTACCTCATATTGGCCCTCAGGAAGCCTTGATCTCAACTGACTAGATTATCGGCTTTGGTCCGAACTGGAGAGGATGGCATTCCACTGGGCACACCCTAATCTGGAAAGCCTCAAACAATCTCTTGTCCAAGCAGTTCAGTGCTTCCCTCAAGAAGTGCTTCTTGCTGCTATTGATGACTGACCACGGAGATTAAATGCCTGTGTAAAGGCAAAAGGGGAACATTTTGAGCAATTTCTTTTTTATCTTACTCTCAATAGATATATATTTTATTTTCTGATAAAGTTTTTGATAAAAATAATTTTTCTGTTGAAATCTGTATATATTTTCTTGAAAACAATATTTATGACAGGACTAGGTATTCCCTTTGTTTCCTGGTTTGAAACTGTTCAATCAGAAATTTCACAACCCCCTCGAAATGAATCTCTTAAAAATTCAAAACCCTGTTAAAATGTGCCCTCTCAAAAATTTAGATGGTGCAGTGTGCATCATGAAATCCTCTTCCGGGCTTCCCTGTATTTAATTAAGATAATACTTATTAGATTTCGTATATTTTAGTATTTTTACTTTCACTTTTTCATGTGTAGTGGGGACACTAAGTGGTTAAAAGTTTTAGAGCGTTTCTTTATTAACAAAAAAAAAAAACTTTGAAAAAATGTTACCATAAAACATAAGTTTTACACGTTTCTTTTATATAATTTTCGTTTTATTTTTTCTGACAAAATCATCCATAATTTTAATCGTACCAATTTCGTTTAAAATGTTTTGCTCTATATACAGTTGCTCTATATACAGTAAAAGTTGCTCTATATACAGTGATTTTTCTCTCAAGTTTGTCAGTCAGCACCCAGCTTTCTGTACCATACAGGAGTATAGGCAAGTATACTGCCTTAAATATGTGCAGTTTTACACCTCTGCTCACTTCTCTCTTTCCGATCACAGTATTGCAGATCTGGTAATATACAGCGTTTGCTTTGCTTATCCTGTGCAGAATTTCTGAATCCACTTTCCCAGACCGATCCATAACAGATCCGAGGTAGGTGAAATCTGACACAACTTCCGTCACTTCTCTGTTGCAACAAACTTGAGGAAAAAATCACTGCTGCAGAAATGAGGTTTCTCCGAAGGATCGCAGGGAAAACAAGACGGAACTGCATTAGTGACGAGAGAATCAGAGAGGAATTGGGAGTTCCTCCGATGAAGGATGTCCTAAAGACTCGGTAGCTTAAGTGGTTTGGGCATTTCATCAGGTTGGAAGAACACAGAGATCCATTAAAGTCTATGGACTACGTCCCCGATGGCACAAGACCCCGCGGCAGACCGAGAATGTCATCTCGAATACGTAGACCGCCTGTACAAAAGCAGAAATAAGAATATACGCCAAGTCAGAAATCTTGCAAGAATCAGAGAAAATTGGCAATCCCGGTTAGACGCTCCCCTACGCTGAAAGGCACCACAGGGTGATGCAAAAGAAGAAGAAGAAGCTCTATATACAGAATACGGATTAGCCATATTATTTTATTTTTCCCCTCCCTGAGAGTTTCTTTAGTAATTTTATATCAGCTTTTTTTTTTATTAACAACATTTTTCCACTCATACCTGTCAGAAGTTCCGATAATCTGTGAGTGTGATGTCGAGATGTAGAAGATTGGAATAGGGGTGAAGAAGAGGATTGTCCATCGTCTTCTTTTCTCTCTCGATTTTAATATTTGTAATTAGTGGAGGAGATCCCTCATCTACCTTCTTTTTTGCTTCCTACGGGTGTTATCGGGCATGTTAGTTCTAGCCATGCCTTGAATCAGTGAGTTCGTATGTCTGTGTAAGTTATTGTGAAATTCGTCGTAGTATATTCGTATGTGGTCGTTAACTGTTGGTATCTGTAGATCCTAATGTAAAGTAATTTTACTGATGTACCAGGGAGCTTTGGTGATTGTCCTAAAAGTTTTTGATTGAAAAGTCTGTAGTTTACGTATCTTAGTCTTTTTGGCTTTCCCGTATATCTGTGAAGCTTAGATCAAAATGAGTTTAAGTAGATAAGTATATTTATTCAATTTCTGTCTGAGTTTTAATTTCGAATGTCTTGAAAGGAGTGGGTATAATAGTCGTAGTCGTATGTTTAGAGTTTTTGTTTTGTTGTTGATATGTGTGCCCTATGCCTTTCTTCTGTCAAATGTCAGTCCAAGATATTGAACTTTGTATGTCTGATGAATTTGGACATTGTCAAGGTAAATGGTAGTGCAAGTTTCATGTCGAAGGGTAAAAGTTGTGTGTATTGATGATTTGTCATAGTTAAGTCTTATTTTCCAGAGTTTACACCAGTTCTGGCATTATTTTAGGTGATATATTAGAGTCTGTGAGACTTAGATTGAATTTTGATGTCGCTGTCTGAGTATCGATACAATCTGGAATATGTGTAAAAGATAAACAACAGAAGAGCGAGTATTGACCTCTGAGACACTCCAGCTAAGGTTGGTTTAATAGTAGAAAGTTTTGTATCTTGGCAAAGAGAGAAAAATCTGTCACAAAGAAAAGATTAAAGAATAAGATAGTAGGTTGGAGGGAGTATCATCTTAAGTTTATAATCCTCTGATTATAAACTTCTATTCCTGCTAGACAAGCTATTATTCTTATTGTTGTTCATATGCTTCTTTTTATATTTATTAATTACTTTATTATTATCTTAAATTTCGTTGTATTGACAATTTGTTATCTAATTATTAACATCCATTTGAAACTACACAAATGACTTCATCTTATGATATACTACGTTTTTTGCTAAGAAAATTATCAGGAAGGGGGCGATTTCACGTTATCACGTTAAATTGGTGGATTTGATGAGGTGCGAAAAACTTATGAATACCCACTTTCATTCCACTTGAATCGTAAGATAATTTGATCACAAAATAAAGAAAAAATAAGCCTACAAAAATATTGGGCCGTTTGGCATGTATAACCCCTTTATCTTTACACAATGGGTTACACCAAACAGCCCAATAGTTTTTTAGACCACCTTTTTCCCACGGTTTTATGATCAAATTATCTTACGATTCAAGTGGAAAGAAAGAAAATGGATATTCACGAGTTTTTAGCACCACATTAAATTAAATAATTTGATGTGAAAACGCCCCATTTCTGAAAATTTTCGTAGAAAAACATTTATTAATAGCGAGAAGATAAAGCCACTCACAAAGTTTTAGATGGATGTTGATAATTATATAAAAACTGGTCTATACCGCGGGCTATATCACAAGCAATGTTGAAAATAACACTGGTGTTTATGACATTAAAGTTTGATTATTTACCTATAGACGTCATAAGTCTCCAATTAATATAAATACTTTGCCAAAAATACTTACTATTCTCAGATACTTCCACTTCGAACATATTTTTAAATTTACAAATAATTTTTTGGATATCCAACAAATCGAATATTTTATCATCTTTTTAATTTCTTTTTAAAAATCTTTAATAAAATTAATTCTCATTTTTAGAGGAAGAGTTTTCTTTATTTTTATTTCCATTTTAAAAGTTGTTTTTTCATCAAACAGAACATGTTTTAGTTGCCTACTTGTTTTAGTTGTACTAGCAATTTCAATACTACCTATATGTTCAAAGTTGAACTTCTGGGAGGTTATGTTTTATCCACGTGAGTTTTTGTTATGTCTGAGTTTGTGTACTATTCATGATGCCTGTCTCTAGTAAAATATTTTTAAAAAACCGTGCTTTGGGTTACGTTAGTAACCATGTTCCTTGTGTTATTCGTTTCTCCATTAAACGAGAAGAATATTTAATAAATACTTGTGTGGGTAAAGCATTTCATACATATGGATCGAACCACTTAAAACTGTTAGCTGTGAGTGATACTTCTTCAGAAGAGATAAATTGCTTGGCCACAGACCAAGATGGTATTTTTACTGCTTCAGGCAATATAATTCATGCATGGAAAAGGAATTCAGAAATCAAATGGTCATTTGAAGGCCATTCCAATCATGTAACTTTGTTGTTACCTTTTGCCAGTCATCTTATTTCTGTAGATGAAGATAATGTTTTGAAGGTATGGGATAGGAATACCCAAGAATGTATACTTACTTTAGATTTAGGAATAGAAACTTTCAAAATAACAGCTATTGCTCATCCAAATACCTATATTAATAAAATTTTACTTGGCAGTGAACAAGGAATGTTACAGTTATGGAACATTAAAACTTCAGCTCTAATTCATACATTCAATGGATGGGGTGCTGCTGTAACAGTTTTGGAGCAATCTCCTGCACTAGATGTTTTTGCTATTGGTCTGAGTGATGGGAGAATAATCTTACATAATTTAAAGTTCGATGAAACTGTTGTTGATTTTAAACAGGATTGGGGTCCTGTAACTTGTATATCTTTTAGAACGGATGGTGCTCCTATAATGGCAACTGGGAGTACTGTTGGAAATATCGTCCTTTGGAATTTAGAAGAAAGAAAAGTTGCTAGCCAGTTGCTTAATGCCCATGACAGTGTAGTTAGCTCAGTTATTTTTTTTCCAAATCAGCCCCTTATGGTATCGTCATCATCTGATAATTCCCTCAAAATATGGATATTTGATCAATCAGATTTCGGAGGGAGACTTCTTCGATTGCGAGAAGGCCATGCTTCACCTCCTACACATATTAGATTTTATGGTAAGGCTTCAAATCATGTGTTAAGTGCTGGCCGTGACTCTTCCTTGAGAGTATTCAACACTATCACGGAAACATTAAATTACAGCTTAGGGAGAGCTTCTTATGATAGACAAGTCATGAAGAAAAAGAAATGGACTTCTGAATATTTACTAATGCCACCAATCATAGAATTTTCTAGTTCATTGGTGAGAGAAAAGGAATGGGACAACATTGCTGCAATACATCTTGGTATTCCTGAGGTAACTTCATGGTCTTATGACAAAAGACGAATGGGTTCTCATAAATTATTACCTGAACGTTTGCAACATAGAACAAAGGTTACCATTACAGATGTTGCTACTAGTGTATATGTTACCAATTGTGGCAATTTTGTTGTAATAGGATATAGCTCAGGTCATGTTGACAGATTTAATATACAGTCTGGCATTCACAGATGTACATATGGAACTAAATCAGCTCACAAAGGAAGTATTCGTGGTGTAGCTGTTGATGCTTTGAATCAGATTGTTTTTTCGGGGTGCAATGGTGGTTATCTCAAGTTTTGGCCATTCCGTCCTTCCAGAGGCAGCATTGTGTGTAAGTATTATCTGTTGTTGTCATTTATTTGTTCATTATTGTATTGATGTAATTTCCTATTAATAAGTATATTTTATTACTACTTAATTCTTATAATCAGTGTGCGAGATCAGGCTATCTAGAGTAAGGGTTTGGTTTCTTCTACCGAGGCGTGAAACAATTGTAGATCCCTACTACCTTCACAATAATTATTTCTTAAATATCTATGGGATCTTATTTTGTCTTCTATAATATAGACCTTTTTTGGTTTTTTCGTTTAGTTAATTTTGAGAATAAACCGGTATAAAGAAAACAGTTAGTAACCAGTACTACAAAATAAATAAAATATCTATATTAAAACCACTTATTTGTATATTAGCTTAACGAGTTTAATCAAAATTGTTAGAGCTGTTTTTGAAAAAATTGTACAATCGATAAAATAAAGTTGCAACTCTTATTTGATCCAATTTTGATAAAAAATTTGCTATAACATCCTATATATAAAACTTAAATATGTAATTTCAGTTTCGCACAACTTTTTGTTTTTAATCTATGCTGTTATTTGGACTCAGGAAACTTCAAAACAATGTATTTCAATTGAAAATTCGGATTAGAAGTTTTTCATGATCGTAATTGTTTCCCTTATTGTATATTTCATATATAGTAAGTTAATTGGGTTAGGGTGGCCAAGCAGGCTAATACATGTGCAAACACATGACAACATGTGTAAACAACCTGATAAAACAAAGTTTATACTATAAAACTCAATATTTTTTTTATTATAGAATTACTTATTACTGCCTAGTAGTCTTATTCTTGATAACATAATTATAATCATGATAGCTATCCTTACCCTTATCCCTGTTTTATTTTTAAATTGTTTGTTTGATTATCATGTGGTTGTAAATGAAGTAGAACAAAATAACAAATTAATTATACAAAAAAAAAAATAATTCATCGGAAAATATATCTTTTTGTATTGATCAGTACGAAGAACTTCAGTGTGGAATAGAGATAAAAAAAAATGTATGTACTGTTATTTGATTTTTTTTTTTTAATGATAATTACAGAATTGATTAATGAAATACTCAATAAATAATTCAATTACAAAGATCAGGATTTTTACCAATTAGAGTCTCTCTATAGTTCATAATTATTTTATTTCATATACTAAACTCAAAGTTAAAGGTGTAGATTATAGGGCCAAGTTGTAAAATAAAATAATATAAATTATAGAAAGACTCATTGGTAAAAATCTTGATCTTCAAAGAATATAAAAAAAATCTAAGATTACCTAATTTCATTGCTTAAGGCTGTATTGCTAAGTTTTTTAGCTCTTAATAAATCTTATTAAGTTCAATTTATTTAAAATTTTAGTAATGATCATTAAATATTATTAATGGCAACTAGAGATATGTGTTTAGTTATAAAGTATTTGTATGCCTATATATTTGCTTAACTTGTTTTGTTTCTTTTAGGTGCGAAGCCATTGCAAGTTCTTAATCTTGGGGAAGGCATTTCATTCTTCCGAGCTCATGAAGAGAGTTCACTTATTGGAATTATTCTAGAAAATTTTGTAATATGTTTGGTTGATATAGAAGCCCGAAGAGTAGTTAGAAAGTTATCAGGTCACACAGGTCAAATAACTGATGCTTGCTTTAGTCCAGATGCTAGGTGGATCATAACGGCATCTATGGATTCAACTGTTCGAACTTGGGATGTTCCAACCGCTTCTCTTATTGATATATTTAAAGTAATTGCATTTTTTTTTCAATAAATTTAAACTTGTTTTAGTTTTTTTCAGGTTTTTAATGAATTGTAGTGTACAATTTAATATATTTCCTGTTTAGGATTAAAAAATTTAATTAGTATTCAAACACTTGTTAATGAAATTAGAAAGTATTTTTTATATGAAAACTTTATTTTCAAATTAACAGAACTTGAACAACTAATTCAAACTCAGAACAACTTGTTCATCGTTATAACCTGTATTTAATAAGACATCAAATTTTGTAACTAATAGGCAGTTACATACACCAATTTGTACAAACTGCTGCTTTGGTGTCTTGGTTGAGAATTCACATTAATTGATTCTATCTAGCCATCTGATTTTTGCCCTCCCACATGGCTTCTTGTCAACCATAGAAGCTTCTACATTTTGTATAAAAGCTGATATATTACTGTAGCATGATGCATTGCTTAGAGATACATGTCCTGTTCATCTTAACCCTTAACCTCTTGTTCTGAGATATTGATTGACCAGTTTGTGTACATTCTTTATTGGTCATTCTCATGTATTAGTACCTTTGAATCCTCCATGTATTAGTACTTTTTTATCCTCCTTGTATCCTTTGTGTGGTATCGGAACTGAGCATATTGTACAAATCTATACCACATATGAGTCACTAAGAGCAAAGCTGTTGAGAACGACAAGTCTCTATGTTTTAACGGAGATAGATCTTCCTCAACAATTTCATATATTGGTGGAAAGAAGTCATAGCACCAATCCACTTTTCTTTTGGGAAAAGAGTGGGAGATGCACCGGACTGCCAGAATGAAGTTGGAGAGAAGCGTATAAGGCAGAACTGGAATAAAGAGTAACCTGTGTGCACAGCTGATAAATAAAAATATAAATTGTTTTAAAATGTCGCAGTAGGCTGCTAAGTAACATCCCCTGCTGCAAAAACCTGTGTTGTCTTAAAAAAAAGGCAGATAAGAGTTGAAAATAAATGAATATTCTCATTCTTGGTTATCATGCAGAGGATTATCTTCTCAAATCTTTGAATACTTCTGCTTAGGGTGTTGGTCAGTGTCCAGGTCAGAACTGACTTTATCATTGCACTATATCCCTTTAATTTAAGATTCTTGGGGATTTTATTTGATTTTGAAAGAAAAAAGAAAGCTATGTTTGTCCTTGTTATATACTGGTCTATTTGATCGTTGGTAATTTATTGAGGTTTTTCTGAAGTGGAAGTATTTGAATCTGTCTACACTTGGACATAATTTCTTTTCTATCTTCTATCACGCAGAACGTATACTCGTTTGGATTTTTCGACTTGCTTCTGTGTATTTTATTTCATCTTCACTTACTTTTATACTGTTTTGCTCCAGTACTCAAATCAGAATCTCTACTTTCTCTTGATTTCTCTGAAGACAGCTTTACCTGCATATACTAGGATATTGTGATTCATTCCAACACACACCTCTCCATTTTACTGTGATGTTCACTTTCTCCATACCTACAGTAGAGTGATCTATTTGGAAACAATATGCCATTATTGCATTTTTCAGTTTAAACTTGATTATTTGTGCATTATCAAATTATTTTATTATCCAATGCAAAAGATACCAATCTTCCAGACATTGTTATTGCATATTTGTAATTAGTTAATGCATGTTTGTACAAATGTTAGTAAAGAGTTTTAGAAAGAATCTTCAAAAAGTTGGCAATCAGTTAGAAATTTTAATTAGCTGTCAAAAAAACAAAAAAAATCAAAGGAATTATATAATGATTTTACTCTGAAAAATGATAAATGAACTTAAAATATGTATACAATCTGTGACATTGATTTTTTAACTACAAAAAAATATTTTCTTTTTTAAGGTTTAGTAAAAATTTAATTGAATTTGGCTGAAGAAAAAATTAATTTTCATCTCAATAAGTACCTAATAATCTAATTAAATTTGAGAAATCTGTTAGTCTATTTTTAAATTGATTTGGTATCATTTTGTTTTAATGCATATACTTTTTTAGGTTGACACGCCTTGCACTTCTCTCTCCATGTCAATAAGTGGACAATATTTAGCAACGACCCATGTTGATAATCTGGGAATTTACCTCTGGACTAATAAGACATTGTTTTCTTTAGTTCCATTAAAACCCCTAAAGGAAAGTGATAGCATTCCATTAATTGATTTACCTTCTACAGGAGTAGAAAGTACCATTCCTATTGAGGAATCAGATGAAGAAAATGAAGATGAGACTTTAGATTCAAAGAAGCAAATAGAGAATTTAATTACATTGTCAGACTTAGCTGCATCACGCTGGAAAAATCTTTTGGACATAGATACAATTAAAATTAGAAATAAGCCTAAAGAGGCACCAAAAGCTCCCCCTAAAGCACCTTTCTTTTTGCCAACTCTACCTGGAAAAGATATTATATTTGACTACAGTTCATTAAAACCTGATGATGGTTTGAAAACAGTCCGTTTAGACAAAATTACTAATTATACTATTTTCGGAAAGATGTTAATGGATACAAAAGATACCAATAATTTTTCTCCGGTTATAGAAAAATTGAAAACTATGAGCCCATCTGGTCTAGACTTTGAAATAAATTCTTTAGGTCTGGAAGCCGAAGGTTCTGTAATTCTCCTTAAGCAATTTATGGCAATGATTGAATACATGTTCTCAACGAATCAAGATTTTGAATTAGCTCAAGCTTATTTTGCAATGTTTTTGAGATCTCATAGGAATGCATTAACGGAGGATAAGGCTCTTCATGAATATTTGAAACAGATTGAAAGTGCCCAATTGAATGGTTGGAACAAATTAGAAAGTGACTTGATGTTCTGCTTAAGTGTAATTAATGTTTTAAAGATGTAACTCAAACCCATTGAACTTGTTATTATTTCTCTGTTTTTTCCTACGATTTTTATTTGTAGTTTTTTATAGGAGCAAGCTGAGTTTTTGACTTATCCATGAGTATTTTGTATTAAAAACAAATATTAATTAAGCGATTTTATTTCCTATGTTTATTTTATAACACATTTTCAATGTTTAATGTTCAATGTTCAATGGTTGTTTCTCAAACAATTTGCATATGAAAATTGTTGTTTGATGATTTCATTAGTTTTAAAAAATTAATTTAATTAAATAAAATAATTGTAGGAATATATAATTCATTATTATTGAATAACGTGAGAGCTCCTCTATGATCTATGATTGAGATCATAAATCCATTCTCTTATTGTTACCTATTATATCATGATTATGAATTATATAATTTTCGGTTTTAATTTGTTTTTAAATAATGTTTAAATTACATTATTATATTGAGATTCATTTATGTCAGATTGTATTAAGTCTGTGACTTGGCTAATTTTGTGATAGTTTCATAAATTATTATTTTGTAAATAATTATGTAACTTCATTTGTATATAAATATGTATTTATATTTTTCGAATGTATATATTAAAATATTATATATTGTAAATATTTATATTTTGAAGAAAATAAACTTTCTTTTTATGAAATTATGAAGAATATTTTGTAAAAATCTATTAAAAGTATCTATGTAAAACTTTTTTTTAAATTACTGAAACTTTTTTGCTGTTTGTTATTTAAATAATAACACTAATACGCCATAACAAGTAATGGAAAAGTTTGAGGAGCAGAGCTCGAACACAATGACAGTATTTTCCCCATATTTTTGTTTGAAAAATGGTTTAAGTTGTAAACTTTTCTGGACTTATTGGAATCATTACAATCTATTCAAAAAACTCGGACTTTGGGCATTAGTATTTTATACTTCTAGGCATAGTGAGATAGAGAACAGCAGAGAATATGTTTTAGTGGGAGAAATATCCAGGTTAGTTCACAAAAGATCCAAATGGATCATGGTTATTAAGGTGTCTTTATTCCTCATTATTATAATAACATAACAGGTTAGTTGAAGTTTGGATTGATATAATAATAATAAATAATAATAATAAAAGGCTTAGCGAACCCGAAGGTTCGATGCAGATACCACCAATCGCTTATTACACACCTCCCTCCACCGTTCGCCGTCCAAACCCAGTCCCTTCAGATCAGCTTTAATGCAATCTTCCCACCTTTGCTTGGGTCTAACCCTCGGACGCTTACCATTCAGCACAGCAAATATTAACCTTTTAGGAATTCTCTCCTTACTAAGCCCAACAACTTTACAAGCCCATTTGATTCGCCACGATGAAATTATCTCAATTATATTACCCGGATACAGTTCACGCAATTCGGCGTTGTGTAATTGTCTGAACTCTCCAGTTAACTCATCCTTCTTCGGTCGGAATATTCTATGCAATACTTTATTTTCAAAAACCTTAAGACGCTGCTCATCCCCTAATGTAAGCGGCCAAGTTTCGCATCCATAAAGAACTGTAGGCAAGATAATTGTATTATAGATTCTAATTTTTAAGTTCCAGGACAAGAGGCGCGAACTGAGTAGTTTTGTAACCGAAAAATAACAAGCATTTCCCGACTTCAGTCTAACCTTAATCTCTTCTTCAATTTCGTTTTTTCTAGTTATAGTAGAACCTAGATACCTAAATTTATCTATCTGTTCAAACATATTACCATTTATATCGATATCCCCAGTAGCATCGCCATTTTTGCAGCTAACCATATATTTTCTTTTATTCACGTTTATTTCGAGTCCTAGTTTTTTACTGGCTTTCATTAACGTTGTCGTATTTAGTTTTATAGTTTCAACGTCTTCGCTTAACAGTACCAGATCATCAGCATAGCCCAACACGGATGTTGTCCCACCCAGATCCAATCCTTTCTCGGTACGCAATACCTCCCTAATGGCATGTTCTAATGCCAAATTGAACAGGACAGGCGAAATGGAATCCCCCTGTTTTAAACCCGAACGAACCTGAAATTTTTCCGACAGATTATTACCGATTCTAACTTTATTGAGTGTCTCCGTCAAGCACATCCTCACTAGATTAACTAGTTTTTTTGGAATCCCTTGCTCGATTAGAATATTATACAGTTTCTGGCGGTCAATAGAATCGTAAGCCTTTTTAAAATCTATAAACAGCTGGTGAACAATACCGTTGTATTCCAATTTTTTCTCTAATATTTGCCGTAAAGAAAATATTTGATGAATAGTTGAACGATTGCTTCTAAATCCGCATTGGTAGTCTCCGATAATTTCCTGGACGTATTCCGTGATTCGACTGGTTAAGATTAAAGTGAATATTTTATAACATACCGGAAGGAGTGAAATTCCTCGATAGTTATTACAATCCGTCCTCGGACCCTTTTTGTGAATCGGAATAAGAATAGATTCTTTCTCATTTCTCATTCACCCAGATCTTTTTAACCAACCGATGTATTTTAGAAACTCCAGCTTCCCCGCATGCCTTAATTAATTCAGTAGGAATATTATCGGTTCCCCTGCTTTATAAGATTTTAATTTTCCGATAGCTACTTCAACTTCCTCTTTACATGGTCCTTCTATTAGCGGTTCGGCACTCTGGTACTCAGAAGGAGGACACAGATCATAATTTCCCGTATTTAAAATATTGTCAAAGTGGTCCTTAAACTTATTCAATATGTCAACCGGATCGGTCAGAATATTGTTATTATCATCCCTAATTTCAGACGTTACATATTTACGTGATCTGTTTATACCTTTGTACATGTCTCTAACGTTATTTTCGATTCTATTAGTTTCTATTTCAATTATTTTATTTTTAAGATACTCCCTTTTTTTATTTTTGAGCAATTTTGTCGTTCTTTCAGGTTCGGAAGTATTCCAGATTGCCTTCGCTAGGATTATTTAGAGCTTTTAATTTAGCGGCGTTTTGTTTTTCGCACATGTTTAAGCAATCTTCATCAAACCACGGTTTGTTATTCTTATTTTCCTTTTTTCCTAGACACGAGTTACCGACCGCTTTAATATTATCCCTGATCTCTACCCATAACTTGTCAATATCCTCATGGTCCTCGTCAGGAAGCTCTAAAGCTTCAAACCTATTGTTAACATCTAGCTCGAATTGGGTTCTAATTGATGGATTTTTTAATTTTTCCAAATTAAAATTCTCAAAATCGAAACGGTTTTCTTTTCTCTTTTTTATATTAAGTTTTTGTCGAAGTTTCGCGATTACCAATTCATTATCCGATCCACATTCTGCTCCGCGATAAGACCGTACATTAATTATACTGCTTTGCCAGCCATGTTGTATCAAGACATGATCGATTTGATTTCGTGTTTGCGAATCCGGTGATGTCCAAGTATATTTATGAATATCCTTATGTTTAAACGTCGTACTTTTAATTATCAGGTTTTTCGAGATGGCAAAGTTTATCAGACGGATCCCATTATCATTACTATATTCGTGCAAACTTTCTTTACCAATCGTCGGAATATAAATTTCTTCCCTTCCTACCTTTGCGTTCGCGTCACCTACAATTATTTTCATGTAGTTTCGCGGTAGTTTATCATAAACCCATTCGAGTTTATCGTAAAATTCACTTTTGACTTCATCGTCACTGTCTTCGGTCGGACAATGTTTGGTTATTAATGCGATTTTAAACCAACGTACCTGAAATATAGCTACCGAAATTCTATCACTAAAGAATTGTACGTCCCTCAAAGAGGATAGTAATCTACTCTTAATTAGAAACCCGGTACCTAAACAATGATTCCCGCTTCCTCCGTATCAAATAGTGTACTTTCCTTCCCTCATCGAGCCCTCCCCTGGCCAGCGAACCTCTTGCAGAGCCGCGACATCCAAATTGTACCCATTAACCTCATTCGCAACCGATTTTAACCCCCCTGCTGTGTTTAAACTCATTACGTTCCACGTACCAATATTTAAATCCCTATATTTCAACATGCGCCATGAATCCCCTAAAGCAGTCCCCATCCGGAGACCCGAACGGGGGACTAGTTTACCTCCGGATAATGAGCGTTTTACCTTAGGGAGATCCATGACTATTTGTGGTGTTTGGTGAACTAAAGATATTTGAGTAGGACGTTCAATCCTACGTCACACCCTCCAGCGTCTGGTGGACCCCTACCTCCAGCAAGTCTTTAGGTTAACTCCCTCCAGCAAGTCTGGAGGTCCCCTCCCTCCAGCAAGTCTGGAGGTCCCCTCCTTCCAGCAAGTCTGGAGGTCCCCTCCCTCCAGCAAGTCCTGGAGGTCTCCTCCCTCCAGCAGGTCTGGAGGTCCCCTCCCTACAGCAAGTCTGGAGGGCCCCTCTCATTGTTGGTCAGCGAGTCCATCGGACTTAGCCGGGAGTAACTTCCAAGGAATTTCCACCGATCATCCCCACATCCGCCACCCGTGGGACGGTATAAGCTGTAGAAAACAAAAATCTAAATGGCCATAATTTAGTTCACCAGAAACCGTCTTCATTTGTTAACATATAATCTTCCGATTTCTAGGACCCTGATAATGATATAACTACACTAATTCTGAAAATCTAAATAAGACCCTTGTGCTTGAAGGCTTTAAATTCATATATAATCATATCATGACTACCCTGGAATTATCTTGCTCTCCTAAAGTAATTAGCTAGAGCTAATAAATTTGTCCAAATGTGTACATGAAAGATAGAAGGCTATGCAATAGGAAGGAAGAGCTCAAAAATGCTAAATGGCTTTGATTCATAATGTGGCATATCTATAAAAATAACCATGAAAGAAATTAAATCCTGAGAAACATACTGGTCCTGAAAATATGTTACGGAACTATTTCTTTTTTTTAAATTTATTTACACCTCAAATTGCCTGTCAGCATTATGGTTTGACATTGCACTTATGCCATCTCTGCTGGATATACAATTGAGTTTATCTCAATTCTTGCTGTTGTCAACTGGTAATTTTCACCATAAATATGAAAGTACTGAGCCTACAACAGAATTCCATCCATGCATAAATTCATTGTAGTAAGAATAATTGTTTGCTGTCACTAGGTGAGGGCAGTGTAGGCCTTAAACATTTGGTGCTCTCGGGCAATTACATCTCTCCCCAAAATTTTTTTTTTTTTTTTCATTTTTATATTAAGTAATATTAGATATATATTTCATTAAATGGTTCTAACTCAGTTGCTATATTAACAGGCTAAAATTAATTATTCCCGCTTTTCTTTAAATTCCAAACAAGTAGTGGAGCTGAGGGAGCTATCTTTCTGGTAGCAATTAGGTCAGTTTTCTTCAGTAGCTTGGATCTGAATGCCTTACAGACAATCCAGACAATAAAATGCTCACTAGGTCTCCATTTCACTGTATTATAGGTCGAGATGTCCTCGTCGTATTCCTATAGCTTGGCATGGAAGCTATCATACCCATACAGCTGCTAGACATGATCTGACAGAGGGGAATTACTTCTTCAGGGTGGCTGGCTTCATTTGATGGTTCCCTTGATATCTAATATCTTCTCAAATAATCTTTTACCAATTCCTGGGATTCTCACTGACCTGGTATGTGACAATGTTAACTCTTCATTAATGTTTCAAAGGAAAAGATTAATTTTAAATCTAATCCTGATGAAGAGATTTATAAAGGCTTTTCATAGCTCACAGTCTGCTAAAATATTACCTCAAGAAGATGTAATTAGTAAAATTCCTCTTGCAATATATACCTAAATAATAGACAGAGTAGATACTATATATGAAGAACTTACCTACTTTTGGACTGCTGTAATCCATAATAATCCAATCTGAAGAAACTATTAAATCTAAACCTTCAGAATTAATGTTTCAATACAGGATGATCCTCTTACATTTCATTTCTATGAAGTCTCAAGTTGAACAAATTATATCTCACAAAAGATGGTGGGTCGGCAGTTCAGAATTATCTGAATTATGGAATGCCAATTTTAAATGGTTTAAATACAGTTAAAGATTAACAAGCTTCATGATTTTAACATGAAATCTTGCAAAATTTAGGTCTAGACATTTAACAATAATAAAATATAAGTCAGGTTTGCTATCAACAGATACATACTTTATATTGTAATAACGTTTATTTCCTTTGTCCTCTTCATTGGTATTACATCCAGCACTGTCAGATGAAGCATGAAAACTTGCCATTAGCAACTAGGAGCGATTTTCCTACCTCTGTCCAACAGTGCTAGAATGAAATGCCCTGATAAAGACCTACCATGTAGACAAATGAAATAAATATTATTACAATACATAGTACGCGTCCATTGACAGCAACCCTGATCAATTTCTTCTAAAACTCAAATTAGTCAACTATATCCTTAGCATTATAATAATAGAACTATTGTATTTTGCCGATTAATTTTATGACTTTGCTGTAAATGACCCACTTGACTAGATGTGGAAATGATTAGAACCCAGATAGCAGATACCTGTATTTGATACTTAGTTACTAAAGACAATGCACTGGTAATATTTCTCAAATTTGATAATGGTATAGACAATTAATTTTGATCTCTTTCTCAAGGAATAGTTCTCGCTTGTGTCAAATTAAGGGATGATAGTGTCAATAAAACTAATTTAAAATTTTCATATTTCTATGAGATAAGAAACAAATACAATTGAAGTAGAAAAAAAATGGATAAAATAAATAGATCGATGATGCAAAATTAAATAATTTATTTTAAACAAATGTAAGCCTGTAAAATGTACAATTAAATTATTACATTATTCTTTATATGCTACAAACGTCATGAGTTGGTTTTCCACATCTTTTGGCAACTGAATATCATTTATATAACACTTAAATTTGTTTACAATCCTGTATATACTTCTTTTAACAGACTTTTTTAATGCAGTTCCTTGTGTTATATTCAGTAAATCTTGTCGACTCAGTGAAGCTGACTGCATGGTATGTTTTAAAACTGAGTCCAGAGTTTGTTTTACTCGTAAGAGAGCAGAAATAATGGTTGGTAAATCAGTCACAAGAATACCATAACTATCCTCTTTAAGTGAATGGCAGGCAAGGAATGAAAGACTTTCACAGGCCCATTTAATAGGCAATGACAAACGGAATGCATGGCGAATTCTCATATCTTTCCTATTCCCAAAAAAATACATGATTATTGGAAGATTATTTACAAAATCTACTTTTTTCTGCATTGCGGACATTGTTTCTCTGTTACTTTTTTTAACTTCATATTTAATAATAGGAGATTCTACTGATTCACCATCAAGAAAATAGTTGGTAACATTATGTTTTAATGGAGGAATTTTAGCACTTTCTTCAGCAGGTTTAGTTTTCTTTGGCTGTTTCATGTTTGCCTCTAAATCATTACAAAACTCTTCAATAACACATAAACATTCCTTTTTAATAGCATTCCACTGATGAGGATGACCTCCAAAACTACTCAACTTGAAGATCTCTTCACGTCTAGACTTGTTATGTTCGCTTAACAAATTTAGATCTAGAAATGCCAGATGCTGAATTATTGGGTATTCAGACATTTTGAGTCCCTCACAAAGAGTAAGATTAGCCTTGTCTTGAATGGCATAAAAAGGAAATATATGACGTTCAGTAAGACAAATCCTTAAAAACAGTTCCATAATTTTCATTGAAACAACTGTCAAAGTTGAAAATAAGTACAAAAGGAAAAAAACCTCTATATTGAAAAGTCCAGCAATGTTATCTATTGGTTCATGATCAAAAGATAATGAGAAGGTCTCAGCAATGAACTCTCTAATAACTCCACCTCTAGCATAATATAGAACCATAAATAATATATCAGGTATTAATACCCATTTCATAGATGTCTGAATAGTTTCTAATAAGTGACTTTTTATCAAAACTAATTTAGGTAGTGGAATGACTGGAAACTGCAAATAACGGGTACCCATAAAATGACTCTGGAAGAAATATATGCCATTAATCCACATGCATCCTAATATTATCACTAACCTTTTTTCAGAAAAACAGTAAGCATCTTTAAAAACACATTTGTAACTGAATCTTTCATATTCTTTGCCAACAAAGGAGGCATATATCCATGGAATGAGAAAACCAATTGAAATATGTAGCCAGGATACAATTAAATTATGAACAGAAAATATCTCTTTCAACATTGAAAACCTTGATGGATAGAATGGTTGAGTTTGGATATAATCTTCTGTAGATGCAGCTCCTTGTCCAAACACAAGTATTGTTAAGGGTATAATATAAAGCCATGCCCCTTGCCAAATGAAGCTAACATACCACTGGTAGAACCATCGAAGTGGGTGAAGAACGTCAGCATTTAAAATAAAAAGATACATGTTTAAGAACGTAGCATGCACTAAAAGATTCCATAATATTGGTTTGTAAGTCCTCTGGTTGATTAAGGGATAAGATGGAAAAAAAGTCATTGTAACAGTTATTTATACACACCACGTTCCGAATAAAACTGATAATAATTTTAGCACATAATTAATAACTCCGAACCAACATTCAACTAAATCTAAATCACGGGCACAATCATGTGAAGCGCCAGAAAAGTTGAAAAGGCGGTTAATCTGACCAATCAGTTCTCGTGAGTAATCTAGTGGAAGGTATCATCAGGTTACTGATGAAGGTTAAATTTTAACAGTCAAACTGAACTTCGACTGTGGGTTCAAATAATTATATGATTGTAATGCCCAACTATATAATTTATTATTATTTATTGTCTGCATACAATAACTTAATATTTAGTTTCATTCCTGTCAAATTATATCTATCCTCAAAAGATGACTGAAAAATTGAAGGTAAGTTCTTCTAATTCTAAACTAAAGTAAATTGTTGATTTTTATAGTTGGGATATTTCTTATAGGTCCTCTGCCTCCATGGATGCAGACAGGATGGTAAAATTTTTAACCAAAAAACAGGTAGTATGCGGCGGATGTTGAAAAATATATGTGAATTTACCTATGTTACTGCACCTCACAGTATCAAACCCCTAAGTAATGAACTGAATAATACAATTAATGATGATTATGGTAAGAAGATTAATTTTTCTTAATATGTTTTTGTAAATTTTGTTGATTTAATAGCAAGCATTTGTTAAAGATTATCGAACATGGTGGTACACTGGTGCTGATAAGACATATCTTTCTAAATTACCTAGTGACATAGATGAAGGTTTTGATGATAGTCTTGAGTTTTTAAAACAATTCATTAAGGACAATGGTCCCTTTGATGGATTACTTGGGTTTTCACAAGGAGGAGCACTAGCTGCTCTAATATGCTTTTTAATTAAAAGAAAAGGTATGTATGAGATTCTCAATCTGCCTAACTTTGATTTTCCTTCTGGTTTAACCTCCATGAATCATGTTGCTTTTCTGTCCGCTGCAAGTCAGTATATATGTCTAAACCAGCATCATTGACATTATTCCATTTTTCATTCCGTGACACTACTATTGTGAAGTGGTGTCACACCACAGAGGTGTTATTCAACTCTGATGGGTGGCACAAGGTCTCATGTTCAAACCATAAAAGTAATTCTAAGAATGGTTGAGTGTGTGTGAAAGTAGGCAGAGGTGATTTAATAGTCTTGTACGGCTGGACCTGGACTGCAAAGGGCCTATTGGGAATTTGCTTATTCCTCTCGATTGGGTAGAACTTTAAAGCAGTGATGTTGTTTAACGTCCCAATTTCAACTGAAAAGGATCAAGTGCAAGTTTGTGGATGTTGGGAATCGCGATTTAACTAAGTGGAGGTTATAACACCAACACGTCAATAATAAGCTTTTCTTTGAATTTCACTTATAATGTGATCATGAGATCTTGGTCCACCCATCAAAGTAGAGCGATACTTGAAAAATAGATCCTAGTTCCTGTCTGAAAACTTCATTCCTTATGCACTTCAGATTCATTGTGGATCCACTGCTTGGAATAAGAATGGTCATCATTATTCAAGCTTATGCTATAGACCAGTATATTTGTCATTATTTTGACTTGCAGAATGAAATAGATGATTCCAGATGTAGGAACAACAAAATAATCATATATGGGAACAAGTAAGGAAGAATAAAAAAATACTTCAAGTCATTGGTCCTTATGGACACAAAAAAATAGACTTATGCACAGACAATAATCTGCTATCCTATACACCCTCACTGTCACTGATTTAACCACAAAAATACCCATAAATTAACATTGTGGGTGAAGAACGGAATATTTCAAGTATTATTGATTATTTTATCTAATTGGATCTATTATTTTATCTAATCCAAGTAATGCAGCAAGGCGCAAATACCGTCGAACCCGTTTGTCTGCTGATTATGGGTTTTTCAAGGAACTTCACAATGGAACCCAATCCACAATCCGACTTGCTAAAGCCACCCACTTTCATAATGCCCTTTCCAATAATCCCGATTCCAAATCCAAATGGAAAATACCCCGTAACCTATCCCTACCAGAATCCAATAAACTCAGTTTCATCCCGGTAACTCCAGATGATCTCAATCACCATTTCTTATCCTTCACTCACAATTCTTCTACTACTTTTGAATTCAAACATCATAATTTCAATCCAGAAGACTTCTTTTTCTCACATGTGTCCTACGATGAATTACTTTCCACTATCCTAAAATCCCACACTAATGATTATGGTCCTGATAATATTCCAGTGAAACTAATAAAATCCAGCCTTCCTGTCCTTATTCCTGTTCTTTACCATATTTTAAACTTTTCACTGCAAAACTCCATATTCCCATCCTCCTGGAAAACTGCCCTAGTCCAACCTTTGACTGATTTAACTGACCCAGTACGTAGTTGTACCAGGTCAACCTCCATCTAAAACCTTCCCCCTCTCCTGTGGTGTCCCTCAAGGTTCCTCTCTATCTCCTACTTTGTTTGCTATTTATATTAATGACCTTCCCCTCCTGATCCATCACTCCCAATACCATATCTATGCAGATGATTTCCAAATATACCTGTCCTTCTGGCTCACCGACCTATTATCAGCCACAGAAAAACTTCAAGAAGACTTGGATATAATTTGTGACTGGGCGAGAGCTAACAAGTTGAATTTGAATGCAGAAAAGACAAAGGCAAACTTAATAGGCTCCAATCACCTCCTTAAAACTATTCCTAATATTTCAACTTTGTTCCTACATGATAATCCCATCAAATTCTATCCTATACCTCGGAATGATCTTTGATCAAACACTTTCCTGGAAAAATCATATATCCAACATCTCCTGCCGTACTATTTCCACCTTAAAACGTCTAAATTACTCCCGTCGCCTATTTCCCCTTGAAACCAGTAGGCTCCTAGTAACTTCCTTTATTTTTCCCTACTTTGACTATTGCTGTACGGTACATGGGGTTGTCTCTGAGGATCTCGAGGCAAAATTAAAACGTTTAATAAATTGCTTTGTACGGTTCATCTTTGGGATCCCAAGGGAAGCCTCTGTTTCCCGTTTTTATGCAGAGTTGAAGTGGCTTTATCCTTCCTACCTTCGTATTTCCTGACATCCTTCCTTTTTCAAGTTATCCAATCTCACCGTCCTTCATACATCTCCGAGCTCCTTCAATTCAAATCTTCTGTTCGTTCCCGGTCTTCTGATTTATACATAAAGGCCCACCAACTGCTGCTTTCGACAGATCTTTCATTATCCGATTCTCATCCCGGAACTCCATCCCTCCCAACATTCGCCAATCCAAAACTCTTCCTATCTTTAAAACACGCCTGTTCAATCATTTCTTATCCATCCAGTCCTCATGAAATTGTAAATATGTATATAATTATCAGATCGTTCCTCATTATTCTTATTACTCATTATTACTTTATGTTTATTTTCAATTTTTCATTTTTTTTATTATTAACTGATTTAAATTAGAAAGTAACTTATAATTTCTTTTATTATTTTTTTAAATTTGACTATTCACTTACACTATATTTTTGTTTATGTATCTCCTTATCCCACATTTTTGTCTTTCTGTATTATTCTAAAAGGACTCATCCCAGAATAAATAAAGCATTATTATTATTATTATTAATTGAGGTGTTGGAGAAGAACTGAACATAATATTTTAATTCTTGTTCACAGCTACTGTCTGAATATGGGCAGTAGTTTAATAATCAATCTATGTAGAAGTAATCCTAATGAAAATTTGGCACGCTAAGATATACCACTATGGCATTGCACTGACAATAAATAAATCTGTTGATAACATTTCCTACAGTGTTTAGAGTAAAAATGATTGGAGTAATCATGAGATTGGAATTGCTAAGAATGTGGAAATTTTTCTGTTTTGCTCAAGGCTGTAGCTTTATTTTGTAGTGGTTCAATAGAATAAATTTTAAATTTTGTGAATTTAGTATATTGCTAACCTGGAGTGAATTTGTTTTCCTTACTCTTTTCTGGGTATATAAGTGTATTAAATCTAATAAAGATAAACCTGGTTAATTTTAATTTACTGTTGCTAAAGTTTCAACGATTAGAAAAATATTTTCTACTATCTTTTTTGAATGTTGTAAACTTATAACAAATATCTTACTTTTTGAACTGCAATAAGTTATGCTTCTGATGGTATAATTTATTGCTCCATACAATAAATTAGTAACTATATAATAAATTACTTTGCATGTACAATAGTTTTTCTCGTTTTAGAATTTGAAGCTGACTTCAAGTTTGTTGTTTTAATTGGTGCCTTTAAATCACTTTGTACCCCTCATCTACAGTATTACAGTGACAAAATCAGTTTACCTTCCCTTCATGTTTTTGGAGAAGGAGATGATATTATTACCAAAGGTAAATATTTAATTTTACAAAATTGCTGTTGAAATTGATAACGGTTTCAAAAATATATTGTTCTCTTTTTCTCTTTTTTAAAAACGAAAATTATATCATGATGGTAGAGAATATTTAAAAAAGAGGAATTTGTGTTATCATCAGATAAAATTAAACTGCTTAGCATCATTTGTATCACTTTGTTGTTTTCATACTCATCTCCTACAGTGAAAAAACAAAACATGTTTGTTACAACATTTTAGAAAATAATTATTACACACTACAATTACCAACAATTAGAATAAACATTGATTAAATTAATTTACATGGAAACCAGTGACGAAATTTACTTGCAGTTATTAAAAAATAATATTCACTATAATAAACTATTAAATAAATAGTACTATTTGTGTAACTATACTGAACATGGATGAAAAATGGTTATGATGTGCAGTCAAAAACTTATGTTTATTGAGCTTGCAGACGTTTTGACCAAAACGTGTGGCTCATGATCAGGACTAAAAATAAAAAAATAAAAAATTATATTAGAAAAATGATAAATATAAAAGTATGTAAATAAGAGTGAGAATACACTTAATAAGGTTAATGATGTGGGCATCAAAACCCATTAATATCCATCGAAACAACAGGACCCTATTTTTTAAAGCCCAAAAAAATGTACCATTTTCAGGATAATGCAAGGTAAAGGGTTTGCAGCAACACAGGCTCATGTTTATTATAGTGTTCCAGTGGAATACATATGTCATGTCGACTAGGCTGCTATGAAGGAGAGAAGAGGAGTTTACATTATTTCTCAAAAGTGTTTTTTTGTCAGTACATATCTTAGTTAATTCTTCATCAAATCCAATGATTAAGCGATTATTTTGAAGATTCCCTTCTCCTTCAGGTGGAAAAAATAGTTACTTAATCCCGAAATTCTAGGCACAAAAGTTATGAAGGAAAAGAAAGTTTACTTGGGAGTAACTCAACTTTTTTTTGTTGTTGATTACATCCATGATTATTTAAAAGATTATTAAATTTCCTATAAAGCAAAAAAATAATCATCGAAATTGGACCATTATTAGCAAAGATACAGCTAATTGTAATTTTTAAACATAAAGAAATCAGTTTTAAATTAATTTTCATTTACTTTGACTTGGTCAATTAAATTATCGAGAAAATAAAAATTGATTCCTCCAACTTATAATAGGTTGCATTATTTTCTTTTCTTATTATTTTGTTAATTGATCACGGACCAATATATTATGCCAATTATTCCTTCAGGCCAACTGTTTATAATAATTTCTAACAAAATTTATGAAGTTTTTTTTTTCTGGCTTTTAACTAAGTTTATAGCTACTTAAATTTGCAGTATTAGATTTATATAAAATTCTTATTTAAGAGTTTTAAAAGGCACAAAAAATAAATCTAACTTCCTTTTTCATAACAAAAATTTTCTTGACCTACTTTACTCTGGAAGGCCCTAGTGATTTTTATAAGTTATGATACATTTCAACTCATTTAATAGTATGGTCAATATTTTTCTCTTATTCTACAAAAAAAAAAAAAAAAAAGAAAGAAATTGATTTTTATATAGCAACCTAAAAATTCACAAAAAGCAAAAACAAAAATAAATTTTGTTTTGAAATTATATAAAATATTTTTTTCCTAGGGCCCATTGAATGAATATTGCGACACGTCATAAATTAGTTAAAATTATTGACTTATTGTAAACTCCCTTTGTGAGTGAAAGGAAGTTTATTAAGTAGAAATGTTGTGAGGCTAGATGAATGAATGAATGAAAATAATTTTATTATTCTGGGATTAGTGTCCCTTTAGAACAAGTTATAACTACAGAATATACATTAATATTTTGGTGTGTCCTTAAAATACAATTAAATATTTACAGGTTGATTTGGAGTACAATAAAGTTATAAATGATAATAAATATGTAAATATAAAATATATAGAGAAAGTAATTAAGTAAACGAAATATTGATGAATTACAAAATAATCAGAGTAACTGGGTGTACTTTGAGGTTTTTACAGCTTAAGTTTTTAAGTGCATTTCGTGTTCAATCGAATTGGGAATGGAGTAGGTGTTTGAACAGGAGAGATTTGAAAGAGGATATTGATTTTGAGTGTCGAATTTCTGAAGGTATAGAGTTCCAGAGGGAGACAACTTGTATTAAAAAGGATTTATCAAACGCAGCAGTTCAGTGAGCAGGAGGATAGAGGTCAGACGCACGGGATCTGGTGGGACGGGATTGAAAGGAGCGTTTGAATTGTAGGATCTGTAGAATATAGGCAGGTCGCCGTGTTCTAATGGCTTGTTATAGGAAGGTAGCAAGGAAATATTGAAGACAGTAGGATGGATAAAGCCACTTCAACTTGGTGTAGAACTGGGTAACATGTGTATCCCTTGAGATCCCGAAGATAAAGCGGATTGAACAATTCATTAAACGTTTAAGTTTGGCTTCGAGTTCTCCCGAGAGCCCACCATACACCATGCAGCCATAGTTGAAGTGGAGGAAAACAAGAGAGGAGACCAGGAGTTGACGGATTTTGAAATGAAGAAGATAATGTAGAGGGTTAAACTGTTTCCAGGGGGGATATAGTACGGCATATAGGAAATTTGGGAGATATGTGGTTTCCAGGGGAGGCTTTGATCGAGGGTAATGCCTAGGTTTTTAACGGTGTTATGGAAGGAGTTAGGTGAATTGTTCAGAACAAGATAAGGAGGTGCTGAAATGGATTTCGGTAGTGAGGGGGATCCGATCAGGATGGGTTTTGTCTTCTCCGTATCTAATGTCAGCTTATTAAGATTTGCCCATGCGCATATTCTATTGATGTCTTGTTGCAGTTTTAGGATGGCATTAGAGAAATCTGTCGGGTTGAAGGAAAGATAAATTTGGACGTCATCGCCGTATAGGTGATATTGACAGTGTATGATAGAGGATGGGAGGTCATTGATGTAGATGGAAAAGAGGATGGGGGATAATGAGGAACCTTGTGGGACGCCTCTGGACAGAGGTAGAGACATTGATTGAGGGTTATTAGGAACTACAACGTACTGGGAGCGATCAGTGAGTAATGATTGGAACCACTTAAGGGCACTAGTTGATAAGGCTATATTTTTAAGTTTGGTTAGGAGGATATTATGATCAACTGAGTCGAATGCTTTAGAGAAATCAAGAAGAATCAGGATGGTGAGTTTGTTAATCTATGGCTGTGTGGAGATCTTGGGAGATTTTAATGAGGGCGGAATGAGTAGAGTAGTCTGGTCTAAAACCAGACTGGAAGCAGTTCAAATGTTTATTTTGTTCAAGATATCGGGATAGTTGGGATTGTACTATTCACTCTAAAGGTTTGGAAAGGTTAGATAACAGGCAAATTGGACGGAAATCATTAGGGGTTGTGGGGTTAGAGATTTTGTTCAGAGGACGAAAAAGAGTGGTTTTCCAGGTGCTGAGAAAAGTGAAGCTTTGTAGTGAGAAATTATAGATATGATAAAGGACTGGGAAAGTTGAGTGCGCTTAAACCTTCGTCTTGCTGCGTCTCTTTGTTTGATGCAATTTTTTATCGCAGGCGTCAACCAAGGGACTGGTGGGTACTTGATTGTCCTGACTTTAAGAGGAGCGTGACGGTCTAGGATGATGTGCAGTTAATTGGTTAAGGTTTCTACCATAAAATCAACGGAGTTAAAAGAGTATATGGAGTCCCATTGGATTGCGTCAAGATCGGGCATCAAAGTTTCGGATGATAGGAGATTAAGGTTTCGGAAAGATATAGATCAGGGACTAAATAGAGGTACAGGAAGGTTATAGGAGATCTGTATGAGATCAAACGAAACCGGGTGCTGTGATGAGGTGAGGGGTTTATCAGGAGAGTCAATAATGCAAAGATCGAACCAAGAGTCTGAGTATTGGGTGTGATGGGTAGGTTTGTACGGAACTATTTACAGATTAAGAGAGTAGAGGAGGAGGTTTGATAAATAGGCTTGGTCAGAGGAAGGAAATAATAGATTGGTATTGAAATCTCCGAAAAGAACAATATTAGAGAAGGAAGGGCTCAGTTCGTAGAGAATGGTCTCGAGTGGGGGTTCTAGGAGGTCGATAGATGACACCAATGAGCAATGAATATGAGGAGGTCGATATTTCAGCAAAAAGATATTCAATATGTGGGGAGACGGAGAGAGGACACAAAGCAAGGATTTTGGATTTCAGGCTATCATGGACAAAAATGGCTACTCCGCCTCCGATTCTGTTTTCTCTATCGTGATGGAGTAGGGTATAGTTAGGTAGTGAAACTTGAGAGGATGTGACCATGGGTTTTAACCAAGTTTCTGAGACAGCGATTAGGTGGTAGAAGTTGTGGAGGAAGAAATCATGAAATTCGTCTATGTGGGCTAAAAGTGACTGTGCGTTGACATGACAGGATAATAAGACATTAGCCATAGGAGATGGTAGGTTGGGATAGTGAATCGGTAGGAGGGGCGAGAGATATGTAAATAATTAGGTTGGATTGATCTGAGATACACCGTGGATGCTGAAACATAAATAGAAAAACTATTGAAAAGTAGAAACTGGAAAAAATATGTAGAAGAAATAATCTAGATAGTATCCTATAATCAATGGAGATAAGAAACAAAAAAATAGTAGATCCATATAAGCCGAAAACGAAAATATACTCTGGCGAACAATGAACAATAATACTAATAAAAATAATAATAAAATTGGCTGCAATATACACATAAATGAAATTGAAAGAAATATTAAACTTATAACAGTTAAGTAGAAGAAAGTTGCTAGAAAATGAGGTGGTGGGTTGAAGGAACGTGAGCAGAGAAGTCAAGTGAAGACATCAAGGTCAGAAGGTGAATATATGACAACTACGGGCTGACCGTCGACTCGCCTACACTTCACTTTGCCATCACCAAACCAGACATATATTTTTTTTCCAGCCGCTCTCCTCTGTCTTGCAAGTCAGTCAGGTGCCTGTTGGTCGAAGTCATCGCTTCTCCGATGAAAATTTTGTGAACATCGTTCTCCTGCCAGCCCATGGGACGAGTAGATAAATCTCTTACCACTTTTCGTTTATGATTCAGCTCATCTCTCAGCGTTTGTCAAACAAATCTGACCAATAGTGGACCAGGAGTGTTATCTTGCCGAGTTCTGATCCTCTCTATGCTGTCTACATCTTCTACCTTTAGCCCCAGCGCTGCGCCCACACTCGCTACCAGGCCCATTGAAGTTTCACCAGGTCTCACTGGAATTTCTCTAATCTCTGTGGTTTTGACCAGGTGCTGTTGCTCAGATCTGTTTAGCTTTATTTCAAGCTTCAACACTCGTGATTTTAGAGTCGAATTCTCCAAAACCAAGCCATCTATTATCGAGTTTTGAGCTTCTAGGAGCGATTCTATGGCTTTTAATTGCTCCGAGTTTTCGAAAGTGATAGATGTCTGGGTTTCCATTGATGATTTCAAATCCTTCAGGTCGGAGGCATTAGGTTCAACGGAACTTCTCAGGTTCTTAACTTTGGTTGTAAGCTCTTTGATTGCAGAGAGCAGCAACTGCGATGTAGCATTCCCAGTGGTATGCTGCGAGCTTGTGCCTCTTTAGATGGTAGTAAAGTGGGAGTATTTTGGTTTTCCTAGCATTTTCCACTGGGAAGTTTATTTGTTTATATTATTATTGATATATTATTGTTGTGCGCATGAACTGTATCTGTTTAGTATAATTTAGGTGATAAGGTTGAGGCCAAAAAAAAAAAAAAAAAGTGAAGGTGGAAGGTTTGCGTTAAAGCTGATCTGGGGGTGTTGGGTTTGGACAGTACCCAGTGGATGGCAGAATGTAAACAGTGATCCATAGTATCAGCATCGAATCTTCGGGTTTGCTAAGCCTGATTATTATTGTATATTTTCACTGTTTGTTAATACAAGTTTATTTATTGAGGAAGGAAAAGTCAGGGGTGGCAGTTATAAATAAACTTGAAGTATTAAAAACTATTTTTAGAACTATCTAGGGATGTGATTAGAATGGAGGTTTGTGTGAAACTGCCATAAACACAAGTTATTTAATTTGAATAGCATGCAGTTAGAATTAGAACATCTGATAATCATTTTTTAATATCACATTTGTCATTTTTTCTTTTGTGGTGTATTATCATTATTATATGTGAATTAAATTTGAATTGATGTTTGTGTGGTGAGAGCAGTTTAGTTTGGCAGCTTTTTTGTTATTGAAATCCAATAATAGTTGTATTAAGTTCTCTTTGTTTGAGTACTTGTTTTTAAAATAACACAATTACAGTTGCTTGTTGATAATAAAATTCTTAATAAACTAGAACAAACTTGTGGACCTAATTTTTAGTTCCTTCATTAATTTGCTCCTTTATTGTTACAAACTTACAATGTTAAAAGGATTGTGCATTGTCTCTGTGCATAGGGAATAAAGATGGAAATTTATATTGTTTGTTGTCTGGACGGACTTTAATGGTAACTTGTTGTATTACGTGTTTATAATTCCATTGCAAATATTAGGTCTGAATGATGTATTATGAGTTGACACTAATGATCTAACAATGTCTTTAGTATATATTTTTTGTGATGACTGTAACAAAAAATGATTCAGATTAAAGTGATATTAACAATGTGTTGCTTTGTTCCTGAGAGACTCAACACGGTTTACAAACAGCTTATTATTTTAGTTGATCATGGCTGTTTATTATTTCTTACTTGAACATTTTTTTTTATTTTCACTAATAATATTTACAGATAGAAGTGAAGAACTTATGTCCTTTTTTGAAAAGGCTGAAATCTTGAAACACAGTGGTGGCCACTACGTACCATGTTCAAAAGAACAAAAAGAATCTTATTTAAAATTCTTCAAAGAGATGCTTTCAATGAAGGAACAGCTAAAAATTGGATCATAGCTTTTTTGTCCACAATTTCCATTTTTCAAGAAATGAAAAAAAAAAACACTTAATAATCAATGAAAATATATTACCTTTATAAAGAATTTCAATTGTTCCTATTTTACTAATATTACTAATGCTCAGATTAATATGGTATATTTGTGGCAAAAATCCAGCAGACCAATCATTGTAGATGAGAACAATAAATATGACATTATTTGAAATTTGTTAGTTTTTATTTATTTCCCCATAAATGTTATATATTAAGTATAAACAATATTAAGATGTTTTCTAATGAATAACAGTTTTTATTACTAAGCTGTGGAATGGTGTTGATTATAAAAAAAAAACAATACTGTAGAACCAGTGTTGTTCTATCCTTGTAAGGGACTGAGTTATTGCTGGTTGGTTAATCCGAGTGTATTAAAGAAAAAATTCCAATGTCAATTAAACTTCTGCATTTCATAGAAATTACAATATAATACAAACATTTATCTGTAGGTCATAGAATTTAAGTGTAAAAAATATCATTTGGTATTTAATAGAATTCAGTTTTTTCAATGGAATAAGTTTTCATCGATTAAAAGAAAACTGCATATGCTGTTAAGTATATTTAAAAACGAGTTACATATTTGATGTTTCTAACATTATTTTAATAATTTGTTAGGTTATTGATCCATTTAAGTTCACAGGTCAAGATTTTCTATAGTAAAAAAGTTTCTCTTTTGCATGTTGTATTTTTTTTTTTTTTCTTCTGCTGGTTAATTTAGAATCAATCAAGCAGTCTTTTTAACAGCTCAGCAGTCTCATTGGCTTTTTGACAAACTATAAATTAGTTGAAAATATTCTGCTTTGGGAATCTTAAAATTAAAGTCATTCCATACATCTCTTGCAGAAGTGACCATCCTCCCAAAGGAATGTCCTCTCTCTCAAGAAATTTCATTGTTCTCTGGTTTGAAAGTTCCTCCCTTCCAAGTTCAATAAAAAAAAATATTATAACCCCTTAAATTATTAGAATAAACAACTTTATTTGAACTTAAATAAATTAAACAACTAATTTTTTACATAAAACTCAAAAATATAATTATATAAGAAAAACTAATACTAAACAGTATAAGTACCTTATAAGAATAAGGTAAAGTTATTAATTAATAAAATGATATAAGTATTTTTATGAGTGATTATTACAGATCATGAAAGAAAAGTTAATGTATCAGAAAGAGGGACATCATAAATTTATGATTAAATAATGGAGTAAAGAGTGAGAAAGTAATACTATTGTATTAGAACTTATATAGATTCCAGGAACTTATGGCAGCCTTAGTCTTTGTAATGTCTAATAGAGTCAAACAGGGACACTCTCTCCACTATTTACTATTTTTTTTTTTACGCTCTCTGTATGAATTCTAGGTATTTATAGATTGAAGTTTAGTACATAACCAGGTTTATGTCTAAAATTCCCATCCCATAATACAATGAAATAGAAGACAAAACTAGCACACTTTTTAAATAAGGAAGAATATGTTTTTGTGGTATATTTATGCATAAGGTGATAGGATGTAATTTATTAATAATTCTTAAGATGGCCTGAAAGCTGAAATGTCATGAAAATAAAGTTATAAGCAGTGCAATGTTTTTCTAGTTTCAGGAATTCTTAGTATATTAAATAAATATACTATCAGTTTTAGTTTCAATACTTCTGTTCAGGGTTCACAAATCATTTAAAGTGAATGAATCATTTCTATTAATTATAAGGATGATTGATTCATTGGCGTGTTTTAACTGAGATCAGATCATGTTAAAAAGTAGACCAAATGAATCATTTGAAAATAAATAATTTTACTGTCTAGAAAAATTAAAAACAACCTAATGAACATTCTCATTAAAGAATTGTATTTCTGTTACTTAATAGAAACTAAAAAATAACATGATATTCATGAAAAATCTCTCAGTAGAAATTATTTTTATTGAAGCTTAAGACTAGGGTATAAATGTGAGCACAGGTAGATCAAAGGGAAAGGAGGGAATTTTCGGAACAAAATTCCCTCCCATCTCCCCAAAATGGTAAAATATAACCATGTCTTATGAAAAAAAATATCATTAAAAAAAAAGCATTATTGTTCGTGTAATTACATTTAATAAACTTCAAGATTCATTTAATTTAAACACCATTTTATATAGATAGTTTATTTCTTTTTTTTTTAGTATTTTTCATATATGTATTTATAAAGCTTCCGGGCTGAAGTCCTCCCCAAAATTAAATCCTGGATCCATCAGTGAATAAGGAGTATAATAAGGAGGTTAAGGCAAGCATCTATGCTAGACTGTATAAAGTGGTTATGGTAGGCCAACTTGTCAAAAGGTATAGAGGAATATCAAGAATTGGATAGAAAGATGTGGAAGCTGATCTTACAGTTGTAAAGAATTTTTAGTGTTCAATAAAGAAAATCAGATGAGGACAAGCTAAAATGGAGAAATGTAGAGGTGGCCAAGGTCCTCAATGTAGTCTATACTTTGGCCAGTTAATGAAGATCCTTTCCACTCCTCCATTCTATTTCTGTTTCTCACTATTTCTCAGCTGGGTCTTCACAATAACTGACCACGAACCAACAATAGAAGACAAAGAACTGACTTATGATTTGTCAATTTATTTGTGTTGATAGTTTAAGATTAAATTTTATTTTAATACTAGGCAAATGGTGCTTATAACACAAAATTAAGTAATTAAAAATAAATGAGTAGCAATAAAGCAATGATGAACTAAATGAAATTGTGAGGGATCTATCAACCACGGGTGTAAATAAATTAAAAAATAAGAAGTAAAGAGAATGGTTCATAATTGTATAATTTGTTATGAAATCTACAAGTATATAACTCATTTACAAAATAAAGTTTCATTAATATTCATTTGCAGATCATTATTAATATTGATATGGAGATCACAATAAAAAGTTAGTTTAATGACTTATGGCAAATAAAACAACAACAAAAATCCATATCAAATTAATTAAATATTACAAAATTGTTAAGTTATTGAGCATGACTACTTTAATAGGAATCCTATCAATATAATGGTGAAAGCTTGAAAGAAAAATATATATATTAACAAACAGCAGTCATAATTTTTATACAAATATAAATAGAGATATAATGTTATATAATGGGTATTCAATACTCAAAATAGTACATCATTATCATCTTCAATTAAAAAATAGCTAGACTTTAAAGATGAAAAATATAGATATCGTAGGCTATTAGAAGTATTGCTGAATACATATCCTCTTTTGATAAATTAATGAGATATACGTTCATAAATAGTTTAAATCTCAGAAAAAGCTAACATAGAGGTTTCAGCAAAGAAACAAAAATTCTTGCCATAATAAAAAAAATATATGTACTTATGCGACACAGAAAATGAAGACAAATATAAAGGCGTGACGAGTATTTCAAGATGCTTGCTCTTGACCATTCGACTCTTGAGTCTTCATTACATATGGTAAATCTGGCGGAGGAGAAAGTGGTGCGATTTCCAATGGTTCGAATTCACCATTTTCAAGTCTACAAAACAAATATTAATCATTACTACAATGCTTATTCACGATAGAAAGTTAAAAAATTAATACAAAGTATGTTATATTGTTTTTAAGAGGATTAAATTTACTAGTGATAAATAAAAAATAGTTTGTTTACCTAAACAAACTGTTTTTGATTTATGATTATCTAGATTATTGCAATTGACATCAAGGGAAGAAGTGTCATTGGTCCTAGTAAGGATTAGAAAGGCAGTAGAGTTTTTACTGTGAGATTAGATATTGAAACAATTTTTAAATATAGAATAAGTAATTCAACAATTTTCTCCTAACTATTATGACAAATTATCTTAATACTATAACATATATTCTCTAAAATAAAAAATTCACAAACTGAATATAGTTAATGAATAGGCTAGAGCTGAATATAATAGTTATGACAGAAGAGAACGATTTCAGAAACAATGGAATAGCAGTTTTATCTCAGTAACAAATCAATAAAAATGTGTGTTCAAAATTTATAAGGTTGAGGGCTGGTATCCATTATTGTGTATTCGGTACTAATTCACAAGATTTCCCCATGGATTAGGCGAGGTTCACAAACACTTCAGTCACACTTGTTCATGAAACAGTAGAATGATGCCAAATGGTATGTCCTCTTGTATGGTATGTCATTCTCCTTTGACACATTTTTGAAAAACTCGAGTATTCTCATCATAGAATTTCCTTATTAACAAATTATTTATTAAAATCATTGATTCACAAATTTGTTAATTATTTATTTTTTTTATAACCGTAATTATTATGGAAGAAAAGTAAAGAAATACAGCTGAATATCAAATATAAGTTGGCCCACACTGTATAATTGTATATGGCTAAGGGTATACAAGTATTTAAATGAGGAGAAAGTTATTAGTGACTAATCCAAGAGATTGTACGCCCTCGTACTCTTTAGGATAAAATTGGATGCATTCAACACTCCAGAAACAAATGTGATCGAAGTGATTGTAAAAACACATAATCCGTGTGGCACGAACTCTTGTGAATGAACCAGTATTATGACATATAAATATACTATTAAACATCACGAGAAATACTTTTGGCACTATTTAAAAAATGCTCTATCTGCATGACGTGTGGCCAAGATCACTTAGATCACACTGAAACACAGATTACCAAAAATAGCCAAATAGTCGAGTTTCGTTAAAAAAAAAGACTAATGGAATGTAGTTGCTAACAAAACATAACATAAAGACTTTGATTTTGAACAATTAAAAGTAACCTAACATAAACATTGTTGTAATCGCCATGTTGTATTATCGGTAGTCTGATATTTCCACGCTTTACCAAAATCTATGATCTAATACTAAACTATCAAACACCGATCTCTAAAGATAACTGACTATATATGGATCTTATTTAGAGTTAGTAGAATCAGAATAAACAAAATGAAGAAACTATTTATAACAATTGTCTCTTTGAACAATTACTAAATAAAATTATATCTTGAAATAATAAAATTTTAATCTACTGAAATTTCAAATAAATAAATGGCTTTTTGAACAAATGGTTTCGAAATATCTCTATTCATAAATCATACAATGTATCTGATCATGTTGTTATAAATCAAAGTGATCTATACTTCTCATTATCAAACAACAAATAATTTTGAAAATAAGCTCATCACAAAAACAATTCAAGAACAGATTTTATTCTTAACAAGACTGAACACAAAAATTATTTTAAAATCACAAAACATAGGTCTAACATACACAAAATTATACATATAACTTACCTTATAGCTAGTCCTACAGTAGCTGGGCACTGGGCTTTAGCTACACTCGAAGTCATTCCATAATCTTGAAGTGTTTTGTCATCATCCATTACTAAATTATCTTTATTATACAATAGCTGATTAATAGGAGGTACTTTCAAAATACCTAAAAAGTATCAAGTTGTCATAATTATATAATAGAATAAGTTCTATGAAATAATATATCAAAGAAAAGTAAAATCATTTAAAACAAAGAAAAAACATTATATACCTTCAATTATTCTCTTTAGTTCTAAAACTGAAGTATTATCCTTACAGTCGGTAAATATAGTAAGTTTTTTTCTCCGAACCATTAAAAAAACATCCTGCAATAACAAACAATATAATAACATAAGTTAAAACAATTTTTGTACAACATGTAAACAATCAGTCATAATAAATTCACAAAACAAACTCAACACAAGCACTAGTTCTATATATTTACAGAGCCATTGCATAAAATTGTTATAAATATTTAATGAATTTAACTGGAATCAAAAATTTGCTCAGCACTTACCATTATATCTAATAAATAAATAATACAAACTAGAAGAAATTGAAAAATAACAGCAAATTTACAAGCAAAAGGTTAGTATAGCGATGGTAACCTCAAGAATACAGATGATGACAATCAACAAGCTTTATTTATTAAAAACATTTATGAAGTATGTTAATTGGTAATTAGTTCTTCATTTGTTAATATTTATGAATAAATATAGAATAAATAATGCTTTATATAAATTATTGTTTGACGATGATGGTTTTTTGTTAGTTGGTTCTGGTGGGAGGGGGGGGGGAGCCAAATATTGTAGGAGCCAACTGTATGTTAAATAATGTCCTATTACGGTTCAATCTGACGAAATTAATTCAACTAGTTTCACGGTTACAAGCTCTTCTTTTAAGCAAAAAAAAGAAGAAAGTCTGTAACCGTGAATCTTACGACTAGAATACAACTCATTTTTTCATACATCATTCCTTCCATGTACTAACGATACTTCCACAATCTCGTAATAGAGATGCATTAATAATACAAAGTATTATGAACAGTGCTATCTGGCAATCAATTATTTGGTTTATTAAGGAACATATGTACCTGGTGTGCACTAATTTTCAATAAATCATGGACCTTTATTGAAATATTCTTTCAACACTCCTATCTGAGCCCAGTCGAGATTGCTAAATACTATTTGAACATATCGAATTTTGGTAATTTTAAGAATTTTTACAGTCGAATCACGGAATACGCCGAGAAATTATCGGAGACTACCAATGCGGATTTAGACGGAATCGTTCGACTATTGATCAAATATTTTCTTTACGGCAAATATTAGAGAAAAAATTGGAGTACAACGGTATTGTTCACCAGCTGTATATAGATTTTAAAAAGGCTTACGATTCTATTGACCGCCAGAAACTGTATAATATTCTAATCGAGCTGGGGATTCCTAAAAAATTAGTAAATCTAGTCAGGATGTGCTTGACGGAGACACTCAATAAAGTCAGAATCGGTAATAATCTGTCGGAAAAATTTCAGGTTCGTTCGGGTTTAAAACAGGGGGATTCCCTTTCGCCTGTCCTGTTCAATTTGGCATTAGAACATGCCATTAGGGAGGTAATGCGTACCGAGAAAGGGTTGGATCTGGGTGGGACAACATCCGTGCTGGGCTATGCTGATGATCTGGTACTGTTAAGCGAAGACCTTGAAACTATAAAACTAAATACAACAACGTTAATGAAAGCCGGTAAAGAACTAGGACTCGAAATAAACGTGGATAAAACAAAATATATGGTTAGCTGCAAAAATGGCGATACTACTGGTGATATCGATATAGATGGTAATATGTTTGAGCAGGTAGATAAGTTTAGGTATCTAGGTTCTACGTTAACTAGAAAGAACGAAATTGAAGAAGAAATTAAGGTTAGACTGAAGGCGGGAAATGCTTGTTATTTTTCTGTGACAAAACTACTTAGTTCGCGCCTTTTGTCCCGAAACTTAAAAATTAGAATCTATAAAACAATTATCTTGCCTACAGTTCTTTATGGGTGCGAAACTTGGCCGCTTACATTAAGGGATGAGCAGCGTCTTAAGGTTTTTGAAAATAAAGTATTGCGTAGAATATTCGGACCGAAGAAGGATGAATTAACCGGAGAGTTCAGACGGTTACACATCGCCGAATTGCGTGAACTGTATCCGAGTAATATAATTGAGATAATTTCATCGCGGCGAATCAAATGGGCTTGTAATGTTGTTGGACTTAGTAACGAGAGAATTCCTAAAAGGTTAATATTTGCTGTGCCGAATGGTAAGCGTCCGAGGGGTAGACCGAAGCGAAGGTTGGAAGATTGCATTAAAGCTGATCTGAAGGGACTGGGTTTGGACGGCGAACGCTGGAGGGAGGTGTGTAATAGGCGATTGGTGGGGTCGGCATCGAACCTTCGGGTTCGCTAAGCCTTTTTATTATTATTATTATAAGAATTTTTAAATCGGAGTATTTACTGCAGCGCTTGGAGATCTACGCTGACTATTGAGGCAATTCTTGTTGGAACGACTATAATTAAAATTAAGTAAATTTCAGTATTCGTTAGCAGAAACGATTCAGATAATGTATTAGATAGAAAATAATTTAGAACTGAATAAAAGATTAGCCCAACATTGATCCAAATAAATCAAGAACGGTTTTGGTAATTAGGAGGTTAATAGTAAATACATACTCAGGTGCATATGTTCACAAAAAAATGTTGCTACTTGAATAATTATACAGCCATTCATTTGAAGAAAAAATAACAAACGCGTTAATGTATTCAGAACTTTAGAATAGAAGTTATTCAATTTGTGGAATTTTACCATATTGTTGTAACAGATTGAGTTCCAAAAGTACCGAGATTTTCCAAATAGTCAGGACGTTAGTAAACATGAATAATTTACCAGTAACTTATAAAAATCGACTAACTAATACGTTTTCAGTTCTTTTATATTTAGAAGATAAGTAAGTTCGTTCTGTCACTAAGTAGTTTTCGGTATGGAGGCGGCTCTCTTCCGTTGTATGGCAGAAAAATCCTCTCCGTTATCTATCTCGAGATAGGGAAACCTTAAGATCTTACCTCAAGCCAGGGACAGATGGCTTCTTGGTCTGGGTGGCAGCCGGGGCCAGTTGATAATATAGTGGTCTGAAGTTAATAGCACTACAGTAAAGAATAACAGTTTTCTGGAACTTTGGTACCGAAGCTATGGTATTAAGTGTCCCAAAAATCCAAAATCCCTCCATTATTTGTTGACGAAGAACCGCCGTGGCAGAGGAGGGAAAGGGTTTGGTGGTTTGCTCCGGTGAGGGTCCCCTTTGTTTCCAATCTCGTTTATCAGCGTACACAATATATCTCAGTAGAGAAGGGAATAAGAGTGTTACAGATTTTTTTTAAAGATTTACTATGGCTTCCAGGCTTGTTTCCCGTTAAATTCTATATCGCCCACATTGTGCAATGTTTGACCACGGTTAGGAACTGCTCTTGTAATGGATAATCTACGAAGTAAGATAGCGGAAATATTGAAAAAAGACGGTTAAATCGCCGGCTATTAAATTAGTATAAAAATGTCTAGGTTTTTAGTTTTGGAATATGTTGTTAAATTTCGTTAAGATGCCTTCATTATCATCATCATCATGTTGAACAATTTAAGGAAAAACATCAGTAGTAAGAGATAGAGATCAGGATTTACAGTCCTTTATAGCAGATCTGGATTACACTTCAAACGACCTTCAATTTAATTAATGAGATAGTAGTTAACACGTTTTGGGACATTTCACCTGCATCAGGGAGAGCATGGCGCAAGTTGTGCCATCACATTTTTTTAGAAGGATACATTTTTGAAAGACTATGAATTTTTGAAGGGGCACATATTTATGAATTTAATGAGGAAATAATTTTTTTGTGGGGTGTTAATTGTAAGGAAAAACTTAACTAAAACAAAGGGAAAAACTAAACAACAATTTTTGTAATTCTACTTTTATTTGCATCTTTTTTAATAGTAGGAAAGTTATATAACTTTTTGAGGAAGTGACATGCACTATCACCCTTGGGAGGGATAGGCACCCTTAAGCTGCTAACACTAGGTCGGCGCTATTTTTATACAAGAATTTCTTTTATTTTTCGTTTGACTTTTTCAAATAATTCTTACTGTTTGTGATCATAGAGAACCCTATAGGAATAAAGGTATTTATAAAGACCAAATAATCAATGATATATGGCCTTATTTACTTGGCCATTTCCTGAATCTCAGCAACGAAATGATGCATAAGGGCTCGTGAAGAGATTGCAGGAAGAGGGTTTCATGGCGTAAGATTCGCTGTCAAAATTTTTGAGGGAGACATCTTTGGAGCGAGTTTTGAATTATTGAAGGAGACACAAGGAGTTATAGGGGTTTCGAAGGGGTTATAAATTTTCTAAATGAAAAGTTTCAAACCTGGAGGCATAATGATACACATTGCCCATAGCAGAGTAATTGTAATTGTATAAGATCTGCGTTTTTTCAAATTCTAATTCCCTTGGTATTGTTCTTAAGAAGAGGAGAACAAGCAAATTTCTTAGGAAGGGGAGAGGGGGAGGATGTGCATTCCTAGATTCGAGCATAAACGCTATTTGTCAGGGCGATACAATATTGCTATTCGCGACGACATGGCGATATAGTTATGTTATATTCTATTCTACTGTTACAGCCACACACAACGCGATCTTCTGCAGCGATACAAAGAGATTGCATAACGCCTAGGCATTTCTCACGGGAAATTCTCCTCACTCACCAACCGAGGAAACTCCACCAAAAAACCAAGGAAACGGCGCAAATTTCCGTGATTCTCATCAAAGTGGTCCTTAATCCAGCTAGTTTAGACCACGTGCTCAATAGTCTTTGGAACACCGCAAGTGGGACATTCAAAATTATATCCTGGTCTAGTCTATGTAGCTTTGCTCGAAAACTAAGTTCTAAATGTTTACTAGTTCATTTTATAAAATCTACTAGGATTTTATGTAATACCTTCCAACACTAGCCAGCCAACAAGGAGAAAAATACCCTCCTTATTCCATTTTACATTTCAGATATATAACAAGTATAATGATATATCTGACCTATAATGTAAATTTTCATTACTTAATTATTGTTATTTTTAATAATACTTTTACCATTTCCTCACTTTTTGGTCGTATATTTTACTAATAGTAGCTCAGGTCCCTGTCGGTGACGTTGGAAAAATGTGCAACTTTCATTTATATACTTTTAACAGATATTGGTGAAAATTTCATCAAATGAAAATATTAATCTAATTTCTTCAGCACT